GAATATGTCAGGAAGACAGAAACATTCAGGCAAGAAGGTAAAAAAAAACAATGAGAATGGAATATATTAGGCTGTCAGGAAAATCATCATGTATTTTTATGTTTTCCTATGCAAAAATATGTCATGACTTTCCCAACAATCTAATACTACACTCAACTAACAGCATCAATCTGACATCCACACATAAGGAAATGGACCCATTTAAGAAGCAGATACAGTGTTAGTAGTTCATCTGAGCTTTACAGAATATAAGAACACTTTAGAGGGTTACAGAATACCAGGGTCATATAGGTGGTCTTCAGAAAGTTAGTGCATAAGACATACTATGAAAAATCTCTGCATGAATTTGAAGTATTTTTGTAGCAAAACAAACTCATTTTAATCCATTTTTCTACAAACTTTCTGAAGTCCTTTTATATATGATTCCTGCAACAGGAATAAAAAAAATTGTACAGAAAAAGTAAGCATCACATTGAGGCCTTTCTCCAATTTAGGTTGCAGTTCAGATAGGTACACATCTAAATAAACCCTTTTCTCTGGGCGCTAGAAATTAAGGATAGAAAACGGGAAGAGGAATAGAAAGAAATAAAGCAATGCTAAGGAAATGGATGGATAAAGTTGGAGAGAGGCAATTAAAAACTTCCTTCTCTTACCTGGTATATGTGAAACACCAGCACAATTAGGCAAAAAAAATTAAACTCTTCTCCCCCAGGACTTTTGGTTTTCTCTTATGGGTAGAAAATTGATACTGAACTGAGGAGTAACCATGAATACATCATAGACTTTAGCATGTAATGCTGTTGCGCATTTGCTTGTGCAAAAGAAATATGCCTCATATTGGTATAAAGTTGATACAATACCGACCATTACTATCCCGTTGTACTCTTATTCCAAAGTCAAATAATTTTTCTGTTGCTATTGTGCTTTTAAAAGATAACATTTCTTTCTCTGCATGTAAATGTGTTTGGGAATGGATTTGCTGTGGTTTCACTTCTCTGCCCCACAGAGATTGGAGATTTGGTTTTGGGCAGTGGTCACACTGCCATTCATGCATTCAGTATTCATCCAAAATACATTAATTGAGGGATAAAGTACCAGCCACTGGACATTTTTTTCCCAGCCAGCCTGGGTCATGACACATGTTGAATGAGCCAATCAGGTGGTGGTTTTGATGTGAGTATATAGCCTTTATGTCAATGGACAAAAGTTCTTAAATGAGTTCCTCTTTTTCCTTGTCATGATATTTGGAAGTGACTTTAAAGAGAAAAGGGAAGAATGTGGGAAAGTCAATGTCCCTAGTTGCTACTGTTAGTCACTTCACAGAGAAAGAAAAAATCAGAAATGGGAAGTACCGGGACACCAAGAGAGAATTGTGCCTCGTGTAAGAAAATGGGGACAGGATCTACAAAGAAGTGTTGTGTGTAGGAAAATAGTTAAGGTGAGCTAAGGACAGAGACTCAGATTTTTTTTATCTATGGCTGATGGGTAGGGCCAGATTGAACTGGAAGAAGCTGAACTCCTGCCTTTTATTGTAAGGATGGAGAGTGGGATGCAATGTCATGATGCTGTTTCCTATTTCTAGAAGACAATGGCCTCAGTTCAGAGCAAAGTATAAAGTTATGAACCTCTAAAGTGTTCCAAGAATGAAACACTTCTCACTCCTCACCATTAGAGGGGAAAGGGTGATACGTCTTTAGTAATAAATTAGGGTGCAGGATAAAAGGAAACCTCAAACAGTCAAGAGAATTACCCTAGTACTCATGGCATGACTTCTTGACTTCAAAAACACGTGAAAGGGAGTGTACAATGTTAACGTATGCATAAATACAAATAGTTCTAATACTTGCTTTTTGTGTTTCTAATTATTTTCATCTCTTGCCCTTTCTCCATTACCCACCCCCCAGATATCCTTTCATGAAACTCCTAGTAGTAACTTAGCCTTCTCCTGCACCTTCAGGACCATTACCCCCAGATAGCTCTCTTTTGAGATGCTTTGTGAATTTGATTCTATTTTTGCTTTTTTTACATGGCATTTTCCAGTCAGCTTTTTTTATTTTGAGAGTTGCTTTTCTATAAGTTCAAAAATAGTAGTCATCTTTATTGTCATTGACCAAGCACTACCTTATGCCACATATCAGCTCTTATAATAATTCTTTGACTTAATTATCGGTGAATCAATTGCATCCAAGACAGAATAATGTACAATATTCACATTCATGAAGTGTTTCAAAGCATTGTATGACACAAAGTTTCAAATAAATGCTAGTATTTCAAGTTATTATTAATCTACATTCGTATTGCTTTAAAGATGTTTCTCCGACATATTTTTTTTTTTTTTTTTGGAGAGATTTTCACTGTAGGGCGCGTGCGCTCGCCAGACAGACAGAGAGAGACATAGAGACAGAAAGCGAGAAATCACCCCCCATGGGGGATGGTCACGCCGCAATCCCTTCTCCTCCATTCTCCTCTCGGGCTCTTGGGCACGCACGCACACGCGCCCGGCGTGAGTTTTAAGCCACCGGGTCCGGGACACGAACCGCGGTCGACTACGTGGGAATCCAGCGACATAGCCATTACGCTAACTGCTGGTCCCTCTCTCCGACATACTTTGTCAGTTTATCATAGCACATTTTTTGTACCCTCTTTCTTTCTTTGGCATCATGACTGAGTTTATTCAATCTCCTATAGATTTGTATGGAAGGAATAAACATGGGCTTGGAGCCAGAAATTCTTTCTTTTTTCCCAAGAAAATTGCTTTATTCTAATTAACTCATTAAACAACTCCAACAACTGGTGTAAGGTTACACAATTATCTGCCCAGCCCCAGAGTCAACATTTCAATGAACTTCCTCACAGAAGAATATCCTCTTTCATTGTAATTCTAAAGGAAGCTACCGATAACAGAAGAAGTTTAACTGACGATTTTACACTTCATCATTTCACCGTCAATTATTTGTTCACACTAAATTAACTTGGTCATGAGAGTCGACTTCTTTACTTCTTCAGTATGAACAACTTGATTAGGATAATCCATTTGCAAATCTGCACTGTTTCAGCACCTCGCTGAAACCCTCACAGAGCTTAATGTCACTCTTGGTTCTGGGCACACTCCAAAAACTGTTTTATCTCAGAGTGGCAAGGTCCAACCTGCTGCTGCTGCTCAAGTGTGCTGGGTTCCCTGAGGCTCCTGGTAAGAGATGTCAGGCCTGGAGGGCTCAACGTTACTTCCTCCACTGAA